GTGTGTGTGTGTGTATGTGTGTCTGTATGCGTGTGTGTGTATGTATGCCTGTGTGTGCGTACGTGCCTGTGTGTGTGTGTGCGTGTTTCTTGTGTAAGCTGAAAGACGCGAAAAATTATTGAAATATCTATTGCTCCAAGGGTTCAGGGGATCTCGTAGTCGAGCAGTCTCGACTAGAGCTTTCTTACTTGTTGTGTTTGTTTTTGTATTTGTTTTTGTTTTTGTTTTTAATCGATACATTTTGTGCTTTTAACTGAAACAGTTGCTCGTCTTCGTCTTCATCTTCGTCTTTTGTGCTTTGTGCTGGGCTCCCTTTTGGGCTTGTAAAACAATGACAGGGACAAATTTGTGCGCTTGGCAAACAGACAGAGGACGGCGGGACAATGGACAGCCGAGACAAAGACACGAACGTGGGCTGGGCTTGGGGCTCGGGCTGGCTATGGTATTGGGGTTGGGGCTGGGACATCCTTTAAGTGTCAATACAAATATAAATCAATGTTAGCAGCCCAAAAGGTAGCCTCTAAGCAAACAGTTGCCATTTCTTGTTGTTGCTGTTGAAAAGTGTGTGAGCAGCTTTGCTGTGCTTTGCTTCACCTTCTTTTTCTCTTTGATACTCGTCCTGCAAAAAGACAAAGAGTATATTCGGCTTTGGACAGTGTCAGTGCCACTCTCTCTGCTCGTATGAAATATAAGATTTTCTTATACATGCTAATGGGAGTTTGGCGAATCGCAAGATTGGAACGGGTATTGCTTAGTCGGCTGCGCCCGATTTGTAGGCTCTCACTTGATTTCGTTTGACGAGGCAATCAATTTTAACAAGCACAAATATTTTGCCTGTTGCCACTTACCACTTGCCGCTTCATTCATCTTGTTCTCTGCTGCTGTCTGGCAACGCTGTGCGTTTTAGCATGCATGTCTAAAAATTTACAAGCTACTTTCTTAGTGCTGCACGTCAAATGCTTACTAATTGCCATTATTGATATCGCCAAAGAGAGGGTGATGCGAAGAGAGACAGAGAGAGAGAGAGAGAGAGAGAGAGAGAGAGAGAGAGGGGGAGAGAGAGAGATGGGGAAAGTACCAGAGGTTTTGTTGCTTAGCAAGATTTTTCCTTGTTGCATCTCTCGCATTTAATTTGCAATTCAGTCAACACACACACTGGCACACACACTGGCACACCTTCAATTCGTGGCCGTTGCCACTGACAGCCAACGTGTGCTACCCGTTTTAATTAGAGAGAAAATTGCGGGGCTCGCGCAAAAAAGTTTACAGACATTTTTTTTTATCCTCCGCATATAGACTTTGCTTTTGTTGTTGCCCGACGGCAGCAGTTGTTCAATTTAATGCAGCCAAGCAGGAGCTGGGAGCAGAAAATAAATAGCCAAGAGTTAACATTAAAAACAACAAAGCAAAACAAAAGGAAAACAACAACACAGACTGGAAAACCTGCCAAGTCTGCGGTCTGAGCTCTGCTCCGTAGGTGCGCATCAAGTTATTTGCAGCAGCTTTAAAGCTGGAGGCTTGCACGTCACAGATAGGAGATAGGAGATGTGAGAATAGTCTGAGCTGAGCTCAGTTAGCTGCATGCGAGGATGCTGCGACAATGATAAGCTGATGCAGAGCTAATTGGAGCTGCATATTCAGGGGATGGAGACTAAACCTAGAAGTGGTTTACCGATGAGAATGTTGAGCGAGTGCTGAAATACCAGAATCAACCATAATATTATTCAACACTTTAAAAGTATTTTATCTAATGAGCATATTTGGTCACGCTGAAATTATGACCCTTCTTTTGAATATTCTTATCGTACGTAGACGTGCTGCAAGAAAATAATCTTTAAAATAAAAGATAATATTTAAATTAAATTAAAATCATAAACCTGCATTATTTCTTTAAACTTAAAGCTAGTCAACCAACATCGATAATCTTGCTACGAAAGTAGCGATAACTAGGAAATGGAAGCAACGGGGCACCAAGTCATATAAGTCATATAAGTCTCCTGAAGAGAGATCAATCGATCGCTGCGATCATGTCTCTTGAGTACTTCCCCTCGCACCTTGATGGAGTCCTCAGCTTAAGTTAAATGCGCGGGTAGACAGCAGAGAACTCTTTGCTTAATAAATGAGTGACCTTCAGCGATCCATGCAGCACTCTTATACATACATATATTAAGCTGATATGATCTACTAATGTTGAGCTGATCGTCATCTCGAAGAGGGAATAGAACATTCGATATTTGTAATAAATTTACGATTTTCGCATGATTCTATATTCGATCGCTTAAACGTTGGGAATGATCGTAAATATCATACTCTCTGCATAAACATATTCCCGATAGACAAAAGACAGCTTTAGCACGCTCCAGTTGCCTTTGAGTGTTGTTCCATTCCATTTAAAAATCATGGATACAGCTTAAAAACAAATGCAAAAAAAAAAGTCAAAAAAGAAGTCGTATTTCTCCTATTTGTACAGCCTCTATTAAGTTCCTTTTGACGTATGTGACGCAGGCAGTCTGTTAATAAATGCCTCTTTAATATTTTCTATTCATTTCGGATTGAGCTAGTAGTCCGAGAGAAATTAGTATTGAAATATCGAAGTACGTTCAGTTTTTGTCGAGTTTATTTTGATACGATTGTGTTAGCTGGCGTGCGAGAATAAATATTGTGAAAAACTTGATTTTTTTTTTTTGAAAAATGGATTCGTTTAGCAATAATCGCTATCAGCTGCTGTTCATCGATGACGAGGCCAGCGATCTGTGCATTGGCCAGAAGAAGCTGCAGCTGTTGGACAACAGCTCGAAGCTCAAGTGCAGGAAGCTGCAGGGCGGCGAGAAGATCAAATCGCTGGTGCTGGGCAAGAAGGCAGCCAACAAGGGCAAGGCCAAGGGCACTGGCCAGGGCGAGCGGGGCCTCAAGGCGGATTGCCTTAATGTCAATGGCACCTTGCTGGCTAACGGCGGACAGAAGCCAGAGTCTAAGAAGTCCGAAATGCAGCCAAAGCAGCAGCAGCAGCAACGACAACAACAGCAGCAGCAAGAACGCGAGCAGCTGCAGCAGCAGCAGCAGAAGCAGAAGCAACAGTTGCAGCAATCATCAAAGGTGCAACAGCCATTGCATCTGGAGCCGCCGCAGCCGCAGCCACAGCCGCAGCGTCACTATAGGGAGCGCGCCGTGTTCAGCCGCATCATCAACAACAGCAACAAGGGCGGCGGCTATGGGCGGCTCTATAAGAGCAAGTTCGATCGTCATTCGGGCTCCGATAAGACGGGCATCAAGGCGGTGGTGAAGCGCAACGGGGGCGGCGCCCACAACTGGGGCTCGGTCATCAAGGACATCGAGGAGCAGAGCATTGCCATGAAGAATCCAAACATATTGTCAGACAAGGATGATTCGTTCAACGAGCAGCAGCAGCAGCTGCAGCAGTCCTCGCATCAGCAATCGCCACAGCAGGCGGGCGACAATGCCAATGAGGAGGACAATACCAAGTACATAACTGTCGAGGAGTGGCGCGCCATGTGCGTGGAGCGTGCCAAGCCCACCTACAACATACGCAAGCCCGGCGAGGGGGAGGTCGCCAAGCCGGACTGGAAGAAGATGATTGTCTTGCCAAAGAAGAAGCCAATGAAGTCGGACTCCGATATGGGGCTGGAGTACGATGCATCGATGTATCCGCAGCGCGTGGGACGCTTGCAGCGCGTGATGAACATTGAGTTCAAGTTCAAGGACGATCGCCGTCGCAGCGGCTATCTCAGCGGCTGGGGGGGCGGACGTTCGCTAAACAAGTCCGCAGCCAAGAGCGGCTCCGATCCGATCAATATGAATGACGAAGCCGAGTTTCCAACTCTCGGCTAATGCAATTAGCAAGCAATCTATCAATAGCTCAACAACGACTAACAATTGATCAATTACTCACTCCAACAATCAATCCCTTGAGCTATCAATCAATTAATCAAATCGACTATCAACTAAAAACTATGACTACATCAATTCAGCGATCAAACACCCGAAGACCCACTCATTTCAATGTCGATGGGATATTCGGAACTCCCATCCAATTTCAAGGCATTATCAATCCGTTGTTACGTCAAATACTTTCCAGCATCCTCGTTTTTCTGCAACTTTTAGCAAATCGACGCATTCTTTAAACATTTTGTTCTCTCTTTTGGCCACCTTGTGTTCTAGCAAAAACTTTTCATGAAGAACAACAAAAAAAAATGTTTAAATTTTTATTGAAATAATGTAGTTCTTTTGAGACGCGATTTTTTGTAATATTTCCCATATAAAGACTAGTCCCGATAAAGAATAAATATATCCAATTTAGCTGAATGAAATAGCCAATTTGTGTCAACTTATTTATTTTTTAGTTATGCCAATCATAAGTCAGCCAATAAGCAGTCAAGTCGAGTCCATCAATCAATCAGTCGAGTTCATTAATCTTTTCGACAAGCAGGTGAGAACAATCAATCCATCAATCGACCAATCATCGGACTGTGAGTAGTAAAAATGGTCAGCCAGCCAGCCAATCAGCAGGCGAGTTTATCAATCTTCAGTCAGTTGTCAGTTAGTCAAGCGATTGGCAGTTAAGTCAATCAAAAGTCTGTCGAAATTATCAAGCAATCTTTTGATTGTTTGTCAATCAATTAAATCACTCTTATTTACTTTACTTATTTGATCAATCATTCAGTCACCATTCGAGTCAATAGATCTGTCAATCAATCAATCAAGAAGCAGTCAGCAGTCAATTTAGTCAATTAATCAAATGGATCAATCGATTGCAATCAATCAGTGAATTCTTTCAATCGTCAGTCTGGTGAATAGCAGTTGAATGTCTGTCAATCAATCATTCAGTCATCAGTCTGCGGGACAAACAGTTCAGCTACACTAGCTGACGTTGTAGTCTATCAATCAATTAATCAATTAGTCAATCAATCTATCGGACAATCATTTAATGAGTTTCGAAGGTGATTTTAAACAGTAAGCACATAAATCTATTGAGCAGCCGGGTTGTCAGGGAAATGTCTCAGTCAATCAAGCAATCAATCAGTTAGCAGAGTGTATCAATCAACCTCTTGAATATTTCAGTATGTTAAGTCAAAGAGTATCATATGTCATCAGTCAATTCTGTCAATTAGCAATTGACAGGTCAGTCTGTCAATCAATCAATCAGTCAGTCAGTTTTTTGTCCGTTAATTAATTCCAAGTAATAAATAAAATCACAAAATCATATCCGATCAGCCTAGTCAGTAAGTCAGCCCAGAAGCCTTTTTTCACAGGGTATACGGCTAGTTCGAGCTATCCTGCGACCCATTTAATCGAATGTAATTCAATTAACCCAAATTCACTCACTTGATGCACTTGGCTTTCGCTACTTTACGACTGAGTTTCAGTTTCTGCGCTCTTATAAATTGCTCATAACTTAAACGGCTTCTTCTGTCTTCTGGCTGCGCCACGCCTACCGCCCCATGCCACCCCACTGTCAGCTGTTAACTTTAACTGCAACTTGTAAAAATTAGTTGCCGCTGCAGTTGGTGCTGCGTTTCATATTTTTCATAATTAAAGTGCAAATAAAAACTAGCAGGAAAACAAACAATTGCAATTAAATGTTTTCTTTTTTGCTCCTCGCTGCTGTTTCTGCTGCTGTTGTTGTTCTAGTTGCTTTGGTTGCAATAGCTGTAATACCCTGTAAACAATTGAGTTGCTAAATGAAGCTTCTCAGCATTAGCGGGGAGGCACTTCATGAACTTCTATTGCTTCACAACTTCAGGAGGTCCAATATGAAGCCTACGCAATGCTCCTTGAAGATCAAAAGTTTTTCAATCGGTTCGACTAACAAATGGTTAAGGCTTAACATCTATAGATGAGTTAGTTTGGAATGAATTCGAGCCAAATGATGTACAGCTATCTTCCGCAGGATAATGAACTTGTCAAAAAATGATCAATTTTGAACCGGTTCACTTAAGAACCTTTCGATTTCAATGGAATCTTCAACATCAAAGCAAATTTCCTTAGCTTTCACAGAGTTCACTTCATTTTTACAGGGCATTTGGCTAGTCGCCTATAGCCGCTGCTGCAGCCTAGCTGCTGTTTGCTATTTTTTCAGCTTTTTTGTAGCCGTCGCTGCTCGCGGGCTCATAATTCACTTTTTATTATCTCGTATTTTATGAGCATGAAGCGCACTAGAGCGTTAGAGTAAGAGAGATATTCGCACACACACACCCATACACACACACACAGACACAGACGCACACTCGGGCACAGATATTGTATATATATTTTTATATGTATATATATATATATATCTCTGTCAGTTGGCTTATAAGTGTTGCAACACTGCCACGCCCCGTTGTCCGCCCCCTTTGCTAAGCCCCCGCGTTTGTATCGTTTAATTCATTTAGTTTTTGCCTTATAGCGCTTTATTTGCTTAATTGCTCTGCATGTGTGTGTGTGTGTGTGTGTGTGTGTGTTTGTGTTTGTCGATTATGTACTTAAATACACACACACACACATGCATATACAAACACACACAGACGCACGCATGCACGCACACAGATGAGTGCATTACGCAATTACTTCAACTGGCAAACAACAAACGAGCAGAAGCAGAAGCAGAAGAAGAAGAAGAAGAAGGAGAAGAAGCAGCTGCTGAAATTAATCAAAATATGAAACAATTCAAACAGCTGCATTTGCAGACCAGGCAACGCCCACACGCTGCCGCCCACTTAAGCTGAGTTTGACAGCGATTTGCATTTGCCAGCATATGCTTAAAATACACACACACACACATGCACACACACACACACACACAATCGCTAAGTTTGCGTTTAACTAAATGTAAACATTTTAGCGGCAGCTGCTCTGCTGGCGTCGCTGCTAGCAACATGAATTCATTAGACGTTACACACACACACATACACACACACACTGTCACCAGCTTCATTTCAGCATTTATGTGAAAATATTTTCGATTATTCTGAGCGGGGGCTGCTCTCTCAGGCCGGTCGCCCCGAAAAGTATGCTGTGATTTTTGGCACACACCCACAGACATACACCCACTCCACACACACACGCACGCACCCACACAGTTGCATAAATCGATATATGTTACTCATGCGATCATAAAATGTGTATGAAAGCAGAAGAGAAAAACAGAACAACAACAACAATAACAACAACAACAACAGCAACAACAACAACAACAACAGCGGCGGCGACGGCGGCTCGTCGAGTGTGAGAGATTTATGGTATATGTTAATGCAGAGCATTCACAAGGGGCGCAAAAGTCGTCGCCCCCTATTTTTGTAACACCACCCCCATCAACCACCCCTACCACCCCCCACCAGTCCTCCCACTCTGGCGCCTTGGCGTTCAGCTCAATCTCAGGGAAAATGTTATTCGAAAACTGTTTCAAAATACGATTTATGCCATCATCAAAAAATAAACAGAAGAAGAAGCAAACAATAATATATATAATATTGTGCAGAAAATGTCAGAAATGAAATTTCCCTTCGACGGAATTGATCAAATTCATGTTTGAGTGTGTCAAGTTTACTGTACAGTGTGCTCCAAGGCGAGAGGATGGCTGCGGGGAAACATGTACAGTAGAATCCGGCTATAACGATTCCGCTTAAAGCGTACGTACGGTTATTGTTCCCGATATCGGGTATAATGACGGCCCATTGAGAGTCGTTATAATCGGATTCTACTGTATTTCAATCGAGTGAGTTGCTCTAATTTACGGGGTATGAGGCTTAATATGCCAGGATAATCGAAGATTGAATTTTCAGCAAACGCTGGCAAAATTGAAGGACTAGTGATGTCCTGTAACCGAACAACCCATTGCAAATGGGATCATGGGAAAATGAGAAGCAGGCAAGACAGACCGCTTGAAGTAGATACATTTATGTAATATTGATCAGACGACGGTGAATCGATATCGCTCTGAATGATCGTTTAACTTCTGGCCATTTGTCCATCTTGATGTCGTCTACCACATCTACCATAGATGGAGACTTGTATGGATTGAGAAATCATCGTAGAATGATGGGAATAGCAGCTCTACGTAGGGCCCAGTAGACTTGCTTGTTATTACATCCCTAACCTTTTAATATCGTCGATATAGACTGAATCGTGGACCATCTAGATGTGGACTACGTATGGACCTACTATAGATGCAGGCTTGTATTCATATGTGGGTTAGAAAACAAACGTAGAATGATGTGAATAGCAGCCCTGCGCAGGGCTCCCAGAGTCTCCTAGTTAGACACTTTCGACTAGAGTATTCCTACTTGTTATAATACATATTGCTAACCTATTAAAAATAGAAAATCATGGTGTATTTTGTATATTGTTTTGTGATGTTGCAAGCAGAAGGAGGAGTGGCTAGCCCCAGAAAGTTTATATAGCTGTATACCCTATAAGTGGTTCGCCCCTTTGAAGTGAATTGATTGTGTATTCGCAATAGAAGAGGTATTTCATAGTCGGGGCAACAAAAGTTGTTCAGGGTTTCTTTCAGCTCAATCAATCGACAGTCTTTGCCCGCTGTACAGGGTATTTTGTTGTCTGTTTTAAGGGCATATTTTTATATTTTTGTTGGTATGCCTCTCACACTGGCGCTCCTGGCGCTCCTTAATCTTGTAATTGTTACAGTCTGGGCCATAAAAATAAAAACTTTTGCCTGCTGTTGCTTATTTCAATTTTTATTGACTTGTTGTTCGACTGGCTTCTGCGCTGCTTCTCTATGGCTTTTTATTTATTTGCTTTAATGGCTAATGCGTATTCGATGTGACGTCTAGCTCTCTCTTGCTCACACACGCACACGTACACTCTCCCTCTCTTTCTCTCTGTCTCTTTCGCTCTATCTTGCTCTTGCTCTGGCTGGCCTTTGTTATGTGGCTCGTTATTTGATTTCGTTTCTCGATTTGCCATTTTGAATTCACTTCATTGAATTGTTAATTTTATCGCCACGCACACACATGAGCCACACACACACACACAAACACACATACATTCGTACACACACATAGATACCCTCTCCTTCCCTCGTTGTTGTTGTTTTTTTCCTTTTGATTGTCATTGCCAGAGTCTTCTATGGGCTGCATTTCATTTGAGGTTATTACAGGCCATGCCATATATCTACTGCCTGACAGCCACGCCCATATTGCCAACACCGCTCCGCCTACATGGAACACCTCAGCAGCGCCTATTGAGCCGCCGCTCAGCCTCCTTGTTTATCATTTGGCAATATTACATTTTATTGCC